GACAGCATTTGCAAATCAGATTCAAACTCTGATTTATTGGCAGACTTACATTCACCAGAATTTTTAAATAGCATTCGGGCTTCTGGCGTTCCAAACCATGAACTAATTTTAAAAGTTGGAACACCAGTTATGTTGTTACGGAATGTTGACCAAACAATGGGTCTTTGTAATGGTACTCGATTGATTATAAGTCGGCTGGGATCCCATGTCATCCAAGGAAAAATGATTGCAGGAAAGCATGCTGGTCACGAGGTTGTGATTCCAAGACTCGCGCTTACACCTTCGGATACGAGGATTCCTTTTAAATTTCAGAGAAAACAATTTCCGATAATGACGTCATACGTTATGACAATAAATAAGAGTCAAGGTCAATCCCTAAAGCATGTTGGTCTACTACTAAAAAAACCAGTCTTTAGTCATGGACAGTTGTACGTTGCTTTTTCTCGAGTGACAAACCGTCAGGGCCTTAAAATTTTGATTTGTGACGCTGATAATAACGTAGTCGAGTGTACCACTAATGTTGTATTCAAAGAAGTTTTCCAAAATATTTGAAATGCGTTGTAATGGTTTGTTGTTTGTTTTTATCAACTGTTGAATGCATTTTAGATATAATAAGAATATGGTACTAGGAATTGGTCTGATTCTCCTTATCAATAATGTATCATATAGGGATATCATCTTTAATCTTGATTGTGATATTGTATAAAATTGAACTTTTAATCCTTATGAATTATACTCTTAATTAAATTTTAATTAATGAAATATTTAATAACAAAATGCTCCCCGTGCATAGGGTGCTATGCTAGTTAGCATTAAAAAAAGAGTTGTACACTCCTAACTCCATATATCCGCAGTTCTCAATTTCCCAGTGTTCACGACAGTCAAGCTTCCACCCTTCTTCCTCAATTTCGCAAATCTGCTTCACGCCTTTCGTCTCCAAGTCCCTTCCCTCGCTCACTTCCGGCGACCTCCGCGTTTCCCGTCTCTTTCACAGGCGACCTTTAGTCCAGACCAGGCGTCCCCGCTTCAGAGCGTCTAAGGTAAGTTCGATTTCCTCATTTTGCTCCATCGCTGACTGCTGTGGCGCCTGCACTGTATATTGTTCATTTTTTGTCGATTCTATGTTTCCTGCATCCTATCTCGTTTTCAATTTTCTTGGTTTTATAAGGCCAATTCTCCATATTAGAGATAATTGAATTGTTCTATGTAATGTAGTCATATTTTTTGTTGTACTTTGCCTATGAATTTTATGTTGAGTTTGTCTGGTTTTAAATTATTTGTACAGTTCAATTGATTGATTGATTGATTGTTGTAGTGTTTTTTTAAACTTCAAGTTCACTACTTTAATTGAGTTTTAATGTTATTGTATGGTTGAATAACACACACTGACGTATGGTACAAATTTTTTAAAACTAAAGTTTGTCAGGGGAGTACAACTTCATCTAGACAGCCCTGATTTCATATATAAACGGATATTGGAGCTTGTATTTGAAAAGAAGCATTTCAAAGAGATGTGTCTATATTGCTTCATCCTGTTGAATTTTTAAAAGTGTGCAATCAATTTTTAAAACAATAGTTATATTTTCTGAAATAGAAAAACAGAATTTTAGTCTTTTAACATGGCTTTCTTACAGTTTTCCGATCACCTGATGAGCAAGTTTAATACCCTATCATTTATGGAGCAATAACTAGTTGAAGATTTGCTACATAACTTTTGGTGGCAGACGTTCTTTATAGATATCTAGTCTTTCGTACTCAATATCATGGCTGCCTTATTGATAAGTGATTTATTTATTATGCAGGCATCATCATGGCTAGGACTGTATTTCAGTTGCCAACTAACATCTCATCTTTGGTTGCTGGTCCAAGAATTGGTCAATTCCAAGGACCCACACAAGCAAGATCAGTTAATATGATGTGCACGTTAAGAAAACCTTCGTTGAAGGTTAGAGCTTTCCTAGGACTCGGGGCCTGCAATGCCTTTGATACACTGGGTAGACCTGGATATGGACTTCATTCTAATCTAGCATCAGTGACCTTTACTAAGAGAAGAGGAAGAAGAAGTAGCCGTTTTGTTGTGAAGGCTATGTTTGAGCGTTTCACTGAAAAGGCTATAAAGGTTATTATGCTTTCCCAAGAGGAGGCTAGACGACTTGGGCACAATTTTGTTGGAACTGAGCAGATTCTCCTAGGTCTCATTGGCGAGGGAACTGGTATTGCAGCTAAGGTTCTTAAATCTGTTGGCATTAATTTAAAGGATGCTCGTATGGAGGTGGAGAAGATAGTTGGAAGGGGAAGTGGATTTGTTGCTATTGAGATCCCGTTCACTCCTCGCGCTAAGCGTGTTCTTGAACTATCTCTTGAGGAAGCTCGTCAACTAGGTATTCTTTTTTTGTTGTTTGATTGATTACGTACATCTTCTTTAGTATTATCTAAGTAGGGTGGTGCAAATGAAAATCATACTTATTGTCACAACAACAACCCAGTTGAATCCACGATCATAGGGTCCAGGGAGGGTGTGTGTCTGCAAACCTTGCTCCTGCTCGAAAGTAGAGAGGTTGTTTACTACAACAACCTAGTAGAATCCCACAAATTTAGTTTCACTGATGTGTCTAATTTGATTGGTTGTCTATTTCATCATAGGCCATAATTATATTGGATCGGAGCATTTGTTGCTTGGGTTGCTCCGTGAAGGTGAAGGTGTGGCTGCTCGTGTTCTTGAAGTATTGGGTGCTGACCCAGGTAACATTCGCACACAGGTACGTGTTAAATTTTGAAAATTATATTTTGTGTGTGGGGTCAGGGGCGGAATAATATGATTTTTTTGAAAATTTTCAATCCTAATAACAAAGTGTCCCATTCCAAAATAATAGGTCCCCAGTTAACTTACTCTCTATAGATTGCCTGTTTGAAAAAAAGTGGAAACTAACTTTGGGTTTAAACAGTAGCAAGTTTCACTTGTTGTTGGGACCCTTACAAACTGTACATGTGTTTTCTTAAGTGGGATGAATGTTTCACTTTATTATGTGCAAAGACAAGGTTAACAGGGTAAATGTGAATTAGAATCTCAAAACAGTACCCATGGAGTAGCAAGTGATAGAGTAACTGAGAATTGATTACTTATTTATGATGTAATATGTCCTGCATTGAAGATTTAAAATGCCACTAGCCCTTTTTAATCATAAGTGCACTTAAGGCTATCAAAGTGTATTGTAAGAGTAACAAAAGGAAATGTTATGCCCTCTTTGCCGCCGGACGGCATAAAGTATCATGCAATAATGTTTTGACAAGCTTGTAATCTTTTTCCGGATAACTCGATGATATGTGTGTTCACTACGTGTGCCCCCCCCAGTAATGAGTAATGATTCGTTCTGGATCCGTCACTTTGGGTTGGGAAATATGGGGTGCTGATCTGGTAAACTTTCTTGGTTATGTGTTCTCATGTTAATTTTTGTATGTTAACTTTACTAGATTATTCGAATGATTGGTGAGAACGCGGAGGCTGTTCCTGCTGGTGGAGGAGGTAGTACAAGCCAAAAGATGCCTACGTTAGAGGAATATGGTACCAACTTGACCAAGCTGGCCAATGAGGTAGTTAATATGGAGTAATTTTTTTTGCTGTACTAAAACATTATATGCAGAACTTTTAACAAAGAAGCTAATTTGTAAGTTGATCATTCCTATTTTCGAAGGGAAAATTGGATCCTGTGGTTGGAAGGCAGGAGCAAGTTGAACGGGTCATTCAGATTCTGGGTCGACGTACCAAGAATAATCCTTGCCTTATTGGAGAACCAGGTGTTGGGAAAACTGCCATTGCTGAGGGTTTAGCTCAGCGCATTGCAAATGGTGATGTTCCTGAAACAATTGAAGGAAAGACGGTATGAAACATCTTATGGTTAATAACAACAACAACAACAACAATAATACTAAGAATGATGATGGTGATGATTCTAGTTTCTTTGAGTGTTGAATGAGTATTTTTATTGCTGCTCATGTAGAAGGAAAGAAAATAGATCTAGTGTTTTCTTGCTCTTTTTACGGTTCTGGATCTTTGATAGAATTTAATCTGTAGCATTTTGGGGTTTGCTTTAACAACAACAACATCAGCTCATTGGGAATTTGGGATCCCGCAAGTGGGGTCTGATGAGTCAAGTTGGTCAGTGTACATAGATCTAACCCCTTCTTTGGAGATGGGGAGGTTTTGATTTGTATGCAGAATTATGTCCCTAATTTACCCATCTTTTTTTCAATATATTACATTCAATTCACACTATGTATTATTCCAGACAAGTTTTTGTTCTCGTATTGAAATTGGAAACTGGCATTATGTTGAAGTAACATACATTTCTAAAAACATTGTAGTATTTCTGTTCATTGTGGTATTCTGTTTTCACTCATATTGGTTCGCTATGTAGGTTATAACCCTGGATATGGGTTTGCTTGTTGCTGGAACAAAATACCGTGGAGAGTTTGAGGAAAGGCTAAAAAAGCTAATGGATGAAATTAAACAGAATGATGACATTATACTTTTCATTGATGAAGTGCACACACTGATTGGAGCTGGAGCAGCAGAGGGTGCAATTGATGCTGCAAACATTTTGAAACCTGCCCTTGCTCGAGGTGAACTTCAGGTTGGTTGTTATAATGAAATGACCCGTATATGTACAACTAGGGAAGCCTTTTCATTTCATCTCCTTTATTTTTCATTAGAGATTTACTTTTAATTTTTAATTCTCTCAGACTGAATTCAAATTCTTGAAACTGAGTATGCAGAGGAAGACATTTGCAATGGGAAACAAGTTCTTTTTAGTTATTTTGGTGATGGAACAATACGCGTAACATGATACATTTGTTGTTTACATGCTAGTGTATTGGGGCTACCACGCTTGATGAATATCGAAAGCATATAGAGAAGGATCCAGCATTAGAGAGAAGGTTCCAACCAGTTAAGGTGCCTGAACCAACTGTAGATGAAGCAATGCAGATCCTTCGCGGGCTTCGGGAAAGATATGAAATTCATCATAAGCTGCACTACACTGACGATGCCCTGGATGCTGCTGCCCAGCTTTCGCACCAGTATATCAGGTATCCCTGTTTTTAATTGAGCAATGATTACAAGTTTAGATATCGCCTTAGAGATCTTTTGATTTTCTCTCTGCTACACATATTATAATAGCATCTCATTATATATTGTAGTGACCGCTTCCTTCCTGATAAAGCGATTGACTTGATTGACGAGGCTGGCTCTCGTGTTAGACTTCGCCATGCACAGGTATGGTGTGGATCTTTGTTCTTTGAAAGTAGCACCGTACACTATCCTTCTGCTCACTCCAGCTGTCTGTTTGTTAACAAGCTGTTTTTAAATCTCCCAGCTCCCACAGGAAGCAAAAGAGCTCGAGAAAGAAATAAGGAAGATAACGAAGGAGAAGGATGAAGCTGTTCGCAGTCAAGACTTTGAAAAGGTGATTCACTCTCCTCTTTTTTCGGGTCTATATTAAAATGTTTTCTTGTGTGTGTGTGTGTGTCCTTCCTGCTAGTAGTATGTTGCATTGTTGAATTTCAAGCGTGGTACATTTAATTTGTGATGAATTGCACCAGACCTATAACTAGTTCTGACTTTCTAATGACTCTTTTCAGGCTGGGGAATTCCGTGACAGAGAATTGGAACTTAAAGTGCAGATGTCGGCACTAGTAGAGAATAGAAAGGAGATGAACAAATCGGCCGAGGACGATGTGGGCCCAGTTGTGACAGAAGCTGATATTCAACACGTTGTTGCCTTATGGACTGGTATCCCTGTCTCCAAGGTTTCAACAGATGAATCAGACCGTCTCCTAAAAATGGAAGAAACACTTCACAAGCGAGTCATTGGGCAAGATGAAGCCGTGGTTGCCATCTGTCGCGCTATCCGACGTGCCCGTGTTGGGCTCAAGAACCCTAACCGGCCCATAGCCAGTTTCATCTTTTCGGGCCCAACTGGTGTCGGAAAGTCAGAACTGGCCAAGGCACTGGCCACATATTACTTTGGTTCAGAAGAAGCAATGGTCCGTCTTGATATGAGCGAGTTCATGGAAAGACACACCGTATCGAAGCTCATCGGTTCCCCACCCGGCTATGTCGGTTACACTGAAGGCGGTCAGTTGACCGAATCAGTCCGCCGCAGACCTTACACCCTCGTCCTCTTCGACGAAATCGAGAAGGCTCACCCCGACGTCTTCAACATGATGCTTCAAATCCTTGAAGACGGAAGGCTGACCGACAGCAAGGGCAGAACAGTCGACTTCAAGAACACGCTTCTCATCATGACGTCGAACGTCGGGAGCAGCGTGATAGAGAAGGGCGGCCGCCGCATCGGCTTCAACTTGGACCACGACGAGAAGGACGGAAGCTACAACCGGATCAAGAGCCTGGTCACCGAGGAACTGAAACAGTACTTCCGGCCCGAGTTCCTGAACCGGCTGGACGACATGATCGTGTTCCGGCAGCTGACGAAGCTGGAGGTGAAGGAGATTGCGGACATAATGCTCAAGGAGGTGTTCGAGAGGCTGAGAGGACTGGAAATAGGTCTTCAGGTGACGGAGAGGTTCCGAGACAGGGTGGTCGAGGAAGGGTACAACCCAAGCTATGGAGCGCGGCCGCTGAGGAGAGCTATCATGCGGTTGTTGGAGGATAGCATGGCTGAGAAGATGCTAGCGCGGGAGATCAAAGAAGGGGATTCGGTTATTGTGGATGTTGATTCAGACGGCAACGTGACTGTACTTAACGGCGGTGTTCTTTCTCAGCCGCCAGGTTCCTCCGCCCAACTCATTGCCATCTAAGAAATACTCCTTTACTTGGCTACTATGCTTTGCTTGGCCAATTGTGATCATCAACAAAAGGATGCCTTTTTTTTAAATATTAGTATTTGTTGGCCATGATGAAGCCGGGGCCGTTGGAAAGAGACTATCTATTTTTGAGTAGAGATAAGGTCTGACGTCTGGGTATAGACATCCTTACCAGAACACGGGTTTGTTGTTTGTTGACCTGGAAGTAGTATTTTATGTCATAGCGAGAAATCAAGAACTAGATTTGCAATTGTTTGGCGCTTCTTTTTACCCGAGGAATAAATGATTCTTTCTTGGCGAATTCATGTTTTTTCCCTTTGGTTGTTAATGGTTGATACTTCTACCTTGGCATGTTCAAAAATATGTAACTTGATTATAGAATAACCAACATGGTCAAACTTGATATTAGATTGCTAATTTAACAAGATTCACAAAAATAGTTTGAGGTCACCAATGGAATAGTCTTGGATGGGAAAAGAGATGTCCTATTTCAATGTGCAATCCTTTATTGGATGAGATATATAAAAACTTAGAATTTGGCTAACTAAAAAGTCGTTGTAGTATAGTGGTAAGTATTCCCGCCTGTCACGCGGGTGACCCGGGTTCGATCCCCGGCAACGGCGTTTTGTTGGTTGGTTTTAAAAAGCCACATTAAGTAAATATTGTTTTAGAAACAACTCAGTCGTTGTAGTATAGTGGTGAGTATTCCCGCCTGTCACGCGGGTGACCCGGGTTCGATCCCCGGCAACGGCGTTTTTGTCTCCTGTTAAATTTTTCGTCGTAAAGTTTTTCTCCGTATTGTTTTTGGAAGGAAGATTACTCCGTAATTAAATTCCAACTGAAACTGATAAAACTCACCCATCCTCTCCCTCACACACTGATCCTCAACAAGTTGATTGCACCAGCCGCTAGCTCTTTCCACTGCATCTGCAAAGTCGCCGATCCCTCTCGAGCTCCGTCGACCTCCACATACTCCTCCGGCGTAGAGTCCTCTTCTCAGGTGAGGTTTTCTCCGTCGCTCAAATGAACAGCGGTTTTCCTCTAATTTTATTTTATTGCTCCCTCTTAGTTTCAAATAGAAGTGGACGTGATAATTTCACGGCGACCATTCTAACTTAGTTTATTGCTCTTTTGCTCACTCTTAGTTCTAAAAAAAGGTGAAGGTACTAAAAGGCTATGGCGTTGAGAGGTTAATGGTTTTTATTTACTGCAATCGGTGTTCTAATAAGTGCTAGGCAACTTGATTGGATTAATAGAAACCTAGGTTGTGATAGGGTTTGTCTGGGAGCAACATTTTTTTATTAGCATTAGCATTTTGGATTGTTTTTTAATGGTGCAACATCATTTTGAAAGTGTTAACGCTAAATGATGTTGTTAGATAATCTTTTCAAAATGCTGAAGTGGCTGCCGAACCGGCACATAAATTCGTAGTTAGCTAAGTGAGTACTAGCACAGAAGCAGGGGCTTTGGTGAAGTTAGGTGGTGATTTTTAGAACACTGGCTGCAATTTTATCCATTATGGCTTGAGACAAATTCTCTTCATTTTCGATTTCCATTCCCTTTTGTTATGCTTCAAAGGCATTTTACTTTTAGTCCGTTTGGTACATGGAATTGACGGAATTAGAATTGAATTGTGAGTTGAAATTCTATGGAATTGATTTGGATGGAATTGAATTCTCCAATTCCAATTCATTTTTGGCACTACCAATTCCAAATCCATATATTTTTGGGCTACCAAACAGCAGAAATGGAATTGTTGTCTCCAATTCCAATTCCATAATTTGAATTCTGTGTACCAAATGGGGCCTAATAGAATTCGTGTAATTGAATTGTGATGCTTGCTCCAAAATTTTCCATGTGTACCTTTTGATGTTGGTTCTGTAGCTATTTTTAATTTGAAGTTTTTGATCTCTAACTCACTCCCTATTTACATGTTAATAAATTAGCATACTCAAGTGAGAGGGTTGAGCACAGAGGCAAGCCAGAGAATCCAGGGAACATATTACCCAATTCCAGTCACAAGTTTCTGGTGCTTATGATGATGCTGTTCTCTGTAAATCAAGGTAAGGCCTCTTTTCTATTATGGAATGTTTCACATCATATATCTATAAGTTTATTCTCTTTCCTGGTGGAATTTGCATGCCTTCTAGTGGCTGCTAGTGCAGAAAGGCATTGATGGATTTATTCAGAGTAGTCAGATCCCTAATTTGAAATGGATTGTCCTTTTGCAGCCAGGAAAGCAAGGTCTTTGAGCCCTCAAATTTATTATCTTGCCAATTCTCAAATGTCAACTGCTGCTGAATCTTCGTGGAAGCATCAAACTTCGCTAGTAAGTACTCAATGCTCACCCCAACATCTTACCATTTATCTGAAAAAATATTTAGCTTTGTAACGCGCGGCATAATTATATTATGATCCCCACATCGTAGAAACATCAGCTTTGTAGTCAGTAGCATGATGTGAATGTAAACCGTATAATTTATGCTAAAGGATGTATTTTGGTCTTCTATATCAGAGGCTTCCCAATATTATTGGTGGTAGATTTGTAGATTCGAAGTCATCTGGTTCAATTGATGTAAAAAATCCAGTAAGTATAATCAGCTGAATTAGCATTTTGACCTTTCTCTATTTCCAAGTAAAGATTTATATTGATTGATTAATGAAATAGGCTACACAAGAGGTGGTTTCTCAGATACCACTGACTACAAATGAGGAGTTCAAATCTGCAGTTTCTGCTGCAAAAGGTGCCTTTCCATCATGGAAGAACACACCAATCACAACAAGGCAGCGTGTCATGTTAAAATACCAAGCCCTTATACGAAAAAATATGGTTAGTGTTGCCACCTGTCATCAATATTAAAGTTCCGAATATTGAATTACTTAATCTTTCTCGGCTAATGATGCATAATGATTGGAATGACCATAATGTTTGTTCTAGGATAAGTTGGCCCTGAATGTTACTACAGAACAGGGGAAGACATTGAAGGATGCACAAGGCGATGTATTCCGTGGCCTAGGTTTGCTGCATTGCTGTTTTTCATAAGTACCAGGATATGTGTCACTGATTTCAGCGCTCATAACTTTTCTTTTCCCCAATTTAAAGAGGTTGTGGAACATGCATGTGGGATGGCAACCTTGCAGATGGGGGAGTATGTGTCTAATGTCTCAAATGGGATTGATACCTATAGCATAAGAGAGCCTTTGGGTGTTTGTGCAGGCATTTGTCCATTCAACTTCCCAGCAATGATTCCGTTATGGGTAAGTAACTCATAGTTTATGTTTTGGATCGTTCATGTTTCCTATATGACAACTCAGGTGCGATCTCATTTGGGTGTTTTCATCCAAGTCATCATCACCTTTTTTGGCTCATGGAATTTGCAGATGTTCCCGATTGCAGTTACATGTGGGAACACCTTCATTTTAAAACCATCAGAGAAAGATCCAGGTCCCTGTATTTTATTTTGAGAACATCTGTGGATGCATATTTTGTTTCTTCATATTTTATGTACTGTTTGTTGACTCTAGCTCTTTCTGTTCTCTCTTTTGCCATTTTAATTTTCTTTCAGGGGCTTCCATGATGTTGGCCGAGTTAGCAATGGAGGCTGGGTTGCCCGATGGAGTTCTAAATATTGTTCATGGAACTCATGTATACTCTGTTCCAAACAGGTGACTATTATAACTGGTTTTATCATGCAGATAGTCATGATGCAACTGTGAACAATCTTGCAGGACATTGTTAATGCTATATGTGATGATGAGAATATCAAAGCCATATCATTTGTTGGTTCAAATACAGTGAGTTAAAATTTTCACAGTTCCTGTGTTCTCATTTCTTATGCAATAAGTTCAAGCACCATTTTGGGGTGGATGCTTTCCAAGAGAACCTAATAGTAAACACTCCTTAAATCACTTGTGGAAAACCGTTGTATTCTTCTATTTAAAATAAAAAGGCAATCTTATGTTTCTACTAACACCAAATTACTTCTCTCTGTTTTTATAGACTTGCTCATTTTGCTTCTTTTTTTTATTAAATTGTACTCCTTTCACCCCCTCCAAAAAAAGAGTCTAGTTTCAAACACTTATTTTGTCAAAAAGAGTACATTTTGATCAAGCAGACAAACAAACCTATTCTATCATATAATTTGCCAAAAAAATTCAAGAGTCACATACAAGTTACTATTATTTCAGTTAAAGCAACATATAAATTTAGCATGATTCATGGTTTATAAGAGTTGCAGCTAACCAAAATTTAAATAGTTGTGCACTGGCGAAACAAAGCTTTTTATGTGACTAAGGGATTATTTATTCTATTACGCATAATTTCCTTTTTTTCTATTGCCGATAGAGCTAAATTGTCGGTATTGACAATGTTTTAGTTTTGGGTAAATAATGGACCAATTAAAATCACACATAAAACTCCCATTGCATCTCACTTTTTATGAAATTTTGGATAGCGAATGCATCAAGGGTCTAACTGAAATAGTCTCTCTATTGCTTACAGGGTAAAAATATATACATCTTGACCCCCACCCCTCACACCAACAATGTTGGCTTTATACTGGGTTGTTGGTGTTACACATGTATTTCCTCGAGGGTTAATCATATATGCATGTGCATTCATGAATCTGGCTAACTTTTGTTTCTTCATCTTCCAGGCTGGGATGCATATTTATGCTAGGGCATCAAGTACTGGGAAACGTGTTCAGGTAAAAAGGAAAGGGAAGCATCAGCATTGAATGCTAATCGTCTAGAATACATACTTGCACTAATTAGTTTAAGATGCCTTCAGGCCAACATGGGAGCCAAGAACCACGGCATTGTCATGCCTGATGCAAACATTGATTCCACATTAAATGCATTAGTCGCAGCTGGTTTCGGTGCAGCAGGACAAAGATGCATGGCACTAAGCACAGTTGTTTTTGTTGGCGAATCAAAACAATGGTATTTACCTTCTAGTCCTTACCATTCATCTTTATTTTATTCTAGTTGAGTTACTTTTATGATGCAAGGAATATCTATAATACTTTTAGGATAGAGAGATTGATAGAACGAGCACAGTCTCTTAAAGTAAGTGCTGGAACAGAACCTGATGCCGACCTAGGACCAGTAATCAGTAAGGAGGTAGGTAAAGTCAATTTTACAACTTGTCGAGCCAATTTGATTAAAAGGACTGTGTATGAGTGTTATATTTCACGTGTTTGGAAACAAAGTCCCTCTACTGATGAATATTTGGTGCTCAAATGATCATCATGCGACAAAAGGCAAAGGATCGAATATGCAAATTGGTTCAAAGTGGT